CTATCACAGCTCTGTTGACGACTTTATTCAATTTGAATCACTGTTTGATAGTTGAATGTTATAGAGTGCCAACGTTTGTTGTTAGTCCAATAAATTACTAACGGTAGCAACCTTGATACCAGACGAGACAAATATACTGTTTACTTGTTTTGCGCGCGGCACTATCTGCGTGTCACGTTCTTGTTAAAAAAGTATCTAGTGTGTTATATAACCTACTTACTCTATGGGTCCCATGTTTGTTCACCTTGTTGTGGTGGGAGGGTGTAGGGAGGGGTAGGAGGAGAGGGAGGCCTCAGTAGCGTCCGGCAATCCAACCGGGCGTGAAGTTAAGAGACACATTGAGAGGCGGCCCAGTTCGGTGGGCGGTTTACTATGCGGGTTGCTCCTGGTACTTCTCTGTCAGCAAAGTGGACCAAGGGAGCAATTTTGGTTGTGTGATCTGCTTCGGCAGTCGGGCCATCGTGGTTGAGGCTAAGCGATCTGACGATGCCCCATTGAGACGGGGGAGGTTCTGTTTTACTGGGTGTACTGGGTTTTTTTAGTGGGACTCACCCCACGACTACTACCTTTATATATACAGGTGACATACAGGTGGTACGCGTAAAAGCATTGCCCAATATAAAAAAAATACTCTATGGATTAATCGGACTACTATCATAAGTGCGAAAGTTTGTATGTGCCTGTATGGCTGATCAGGTTTAGATAAAATTTAGTATTCGGATAGACTATAAGCTGTAGTGACATCCACGTTACATTCAATGTATATTTTTTTATGACTACCATATCTATCTATCTATCATAGTAAATAATAAAAAATGCCAAAAGGTGATGTTAGCTGTATACACTATTACTAGCGACTCACCCTCGCTTCGCTCGGGTTCGTCCCTGGCTTGATTCCCCGTACAAGCTGCCATCCCCATTTTCACCCCCTTAAAGGTAAAAGGTAAGGATATCCTATGCCCTTCCCAAGGTCTCAAACTATCTTCTTGCCAAATTTCATCTAAATCGGTTCAGTAGATCCAGAGATTATCCCCTACAACGTCACAAACTCACAAACTTTACCTCTTTATAATATTTATTTATTTATTTTGGACACAAACGGTATTAACAAAAAATATAGAATAGAAATTAATTAACAAAACTTAACCAATAACAGTTTCCAATGTTACCAAAATACATATATGAAAGTTAGGAAAGACGATGCAAAACATAATTGAATTAATAATATTAAATGAAACAAAAATCTAACAAATTAAAAATGAACAGATAGAGGAAAGTAAGTTAGTTAGTAAGTTAGATAAATACAAAAAACACTCGGAGATGCAACCGAAGCTAGAGTAAACGGTAGTTCAGAATATAAACTATCATCATAAAGAAATTTACTAAAATCCGGTGATATGTTACAGCGTAAATTAGTAACAAGGACACTACTCACTAACTCATAAGCTATTAGTGTATATCAGTGGCAAAGAGTCTACACAATATGTCTTACCTTAAAATTATATTACTATAATTTTACATACATTTAATTTTCTAAATGTATAAATGTTGTTTTGGAAATATATAAATATACAAGCCGCGGCTCCGCCTGCGTTCAGGTGACCAAAAACCAAATTTTTAGGTTTTACATATTAGTATACTCGCACTCTTACGTTGCAGTTTTTGTAAATTTTCTCAGAAATGAGACATTTTCAGGCAGTCAAAAGTATCCTTTATGTTGACCCGGATAACCAGCTATTACCACACCAAATTTCATTAAAATCCGTCCACTGGTTTTTTTGTGATGCGGTAACAGACAGATAGACAGACAAAAATTCTAAAAACTATAGATTCGGCCTCTGTATCGATAATAATGTCTATTTCAATTAGATTTTCCAAAAAATATTTACTGTACAGATTCGGCTTAGTTACAATCTTATTATATGTATAGATAATAATAGCTTTATTTCTTTCTGCATTAATACGTATATAAAAATTGTATAATATTTTTGGAACGGCTTACCTCTGCTAAAATTTCACCCTTTGCCACTGGTGTATAGACTGTTTTTTACCCGTGGGTCTACTCATGTGTGTTAATAATAGTTCTCTGACGAACGTGCCTTGTTAAGTAAACGTACTAAGTTAGAAACTCAAGTGGAATCATTGCATCCACTCGTTTGATAAAGTTAAACCAAAATACGTTTTTAATTTTGAGACTTTTGCTTCTAAAAAAAGGCATCCTGTTGTTAAAATGAAGGCTGTTCTTACCAAATTTTTGATCTACTTCAAATATGAGAAGCCACCCAATTCTTTTGTATTCTATTTGAAATAAAACTATCTTTTCGGATTATTTCGCGAATTTATTTTGATTTTAGGTTCCCGACGTTTCGAATACTTTACAGCAATCATGGTCACGGGAAAGACTGAGGTGTTAGATGTCTCGGAGATATAGTTGTTACAGACAGCCTACCCACAAATAACAAAATGAAAAATTGTACCAAGTACCTTACAATATTTTATAACTTTAAACATTTTTATAATTTTAATTTTATTTTATAAGTTTTATAATTGAATATGGGATATTATTTATTAATTTAATTTTGCTGGTATCAAAGTTATCTTTTGTTATCTTTTGTATTTTTCTGTGCGTGTTGCGCAACTTCAATCGCGAATCCATTTTTCGTATGTTTTGCGGTCCCAAGTGATTTCAAAAATATTCCATTCCTAATGTTCAAAAAATTGGATCTAATTCCATTTCCTTTAATCTTTCTCTTTATCCGTGATTCTTCTTATAAATAAGAGGCTTTTTGCATAAGCATATTCACGACCCATTCAAACGGATCTGCTGGATTTCAGATCTTTATGATAAATCGTACGGCTTTCAACAACAGCTTCGAAAAATGAAATTAAACTAAGATAGGACTCGTAGAACATAATATGTCTGAATAAATAGGTAATAAAATAATATAAATAAAATGAAATAATATGATAAGAATTAGGTAAAAATATATATAATAATATATAACAAATACTTATAATAAAAATCTGAGTCGAATCTGTACATTAAATATTTTTTGGAAAATCTTATTGAAATAGTCATTATTATCGATATAGAGGCCGATAGTTTGTAGAACTTTTGTCAGTCTGTGTGTCTGGGCACGCATCACGAGAAAACCACTGGATATATTTTAATGAAATTTGGTATAATGAGAGCTGGTTATCCGGGACAACATATAGGATACTTTTTACTGCGGGAAAATATCTCATTTCAGAGAAATCTATCTAATAACCCTTAAAACGTACCGTATATTTTAGTTTTAAAATAAAATTATCTTTTAGGATTTTAAATCCGCAAAAAGATTATTTTAAAATGTAATGCTCATAGTTTTAAGAATATTTTGTGTAAATAAACTACCTTTTAAATTGAGAGAGTTTATCAAATGTCTCTCTTATAATAAAAAAATTGTATGATACCAAGTAATTAAATTAATACTAATCAATAATCGATATCTAAAATCCACCATAATTCATTGAACGTTATTGAAGTCGATTAATCATAGCTACATAGGTAATCTCCCCTTCTTTACTAGATCCTATGTCCTAGAGATTATTTTAATCTGAGCCAGAGCTTCAGAGGTGATCATGTACAGATAAACAAATTCTTCAGCTTTATATATTTAAATTAAATAAAGGCAGTGGTAGCCCAGTGGTAACGCGCTCGCTTGGGACTCTGAGTGAAGCGGGTTCAAATCCAGGGTCTTGCACCTCTGATTTTTTTATCATTTGTAACATGATTACCACTTGTCTTACGGTGAAGGAAAACATCGTGAGAAAACCTGCATGTCTAAGAATACCTAGCAAGTTTTCAAAAAAAAAAAGACATGAAGTCCGCCAGCCCGCACTTGGCCAGCGTGGTGGACTATGGCCTGATCCCCCTCGTACTGAAGGGAGGCCCATGCCCAGCAGTGGGACGTTAAAAAAAGGGCTGAATACTACATATATTTAAATAAGCGATTTTCTTCTATACATACATACATATATGTATATAAATTTATTTCATGTATATATTGATTTGGATCAAATTTTGTATTTTTATAAGGTTTTGTTTTTTAAGAAATCTTTTTACGACAAAAGAAAATGAACATTTTAATATTGGGAACGGACGCTAATGAAAAACAAAGACGTGCTTTATACGTACACACACTTTTTTATTTCTTTAAACTAATATATATCTTAAGCCATTTAATTTTCAAGGTTGGTCATTAAGGATTAAGGGTTTTATACATTTTTGTTGTAAAGCGTGTTTATCATTTACCTGTTTTGACAAAGATCTGGCCGACTGCCAACCAGTGCTCTTGAAAAGCATATACCATACGCTTGAAGTTCCTACGAATTCTATATACTAGAAAATAGACATCTATATCTGCTCATTGATTAATTAAAAAAAACTATTTACTTCTAAAATATATCTATTTTGTGTATAATATTTTAAGAAACTTTATTTCTTTGCATGCTGTGTTTATTTGTAAGTAATCACTACATTTTGTTCCAAATTTTTAGTTCTATTTTTTTATAATGTGTGTATTATTGTAAGTTATTGTAAATAAACCTAATAAATGAATAAAATAAATAAATAAATATTATAATACAATAATTATATTTACTATTACGGCTATTGCATTTAATTATGTTAAAAGAATTAAATTAAAGAATATCTATAAAACTCGACTACGTAAAATAAATTATCGTATTTTTTTGATAATCTTTATTTTGAAAATGCCCATTTAGTAAAATTTATTCCATACCCACATTGTTATACATACATACATTGTATAATGTGTGTATGTATATGAAATATTGGTAGATTTAACCTATCATGCCGTTTAAACTATAGAACGCACTGAATTAACAGACACACATTCACGCGAAATGCTTTAACATATTTTGGGGAAGTTGGATAAATACACCTCTAACCTTTTGGATAATATTAACCTTTAATAAACTGTCTGAATTCTTTACAGATAAAATCAAAAAGAAGTATGCGTCCCTTGGCGACAGCGTGGTGGTGGTCAAGCTGGAAAGGTCGCCGAAAGCTGGACTTGGGCTAAGTCTTGCAGGACACAGGGATAGAAGCAGGATGGCGGTGTTCATTTGCGGCATGAACCCAGCTGGATCTGCTGCCAAAAGTTCACCGCCTATCAAAGTTGGAGACGAAATATTAGAGGTAAGACACTCATCATAAATAAATATAAATAAATAAATATGTTGGGACATTAACACACAGCACCGTCTAGTTTCATGGTAAGCTACGAGGCTTGTGTTATGGATACCAGATAGTTAATACACTATACATATATAACTTTAAATACATACATATTATAAATATAAACACCCGTGATTGGAGTACAAACATTCGTGCTAATCAACACAAATGAATGCCCCCAGCGGGACTCGAACTCGCGACCGGTAGCACAGCAAGTCACTACCAACTGTGCCAATCGTGTCGTCAAATACATTTTTAGTTTGTACATATATTTATTGCAGCTTTTATATAAGTAGCTTTAAAAAGCTCTTCGCGTGACAAAAGATTTCTCGAAGCAAGATGCAATTTATATTCTTACAGTGGTTACATTGTTGTTGAAAGTGTGTGTTTCAAATTGTTTACTTGAGATAAATAGCCTCAAGTCGAGTTGCAATAAACTACTTATTGATGTACCTTGAAAGAAAAATAGGATTGACAGAAAGACGATACTCTACAAAAGCTAATGCTAAAAGCAAACTTATAAATTGTGTTAGAATGATACATGTCCACAATTTATTTATCTTACGAATATTATAAATGTGTTTAGATGGATGTTTGGATGTTTGTTACTCAATAGCACATATGCTACTCTTTGTCCCGGAAAAATTTATGGTTCCCGTGGGATAGTTTTTTTTTGTTTTTCTAGAGGCGAAACCGAGTGAAGCTACGGTGAGCCGCTAGTGTACCATAAAATAAATGTTTTATAATAAAGTGTACCATAAAAATAAAGGAAAATAAGTCGACAAAGAATAGTTCTTACCTCTTTAAGAGATTTGCCCCAAAAACCCTTTAGATGTGAGAAAATTTATTAATTTAGTGCGATATATGTAAACAACATTAAGATTTAATCGTTATATGAAATTTGTTTATGTTATGTCAATCATATCAAAAGTTGACTTCTGTAAGGGTGGCCCTCTTCCTACTCGTAGAAGCTTTTATTTAACTTATTTTGGTCATATGTCTGTCTTCCCGATTATTTTTTGGCTGACATCGAAAACGTGTGACTTTTTTGTGTATGTTTGTTACTCCTACAGGCATAAACGACTGGACAGATTTGGATGAAATTCAGCACACAGATAGGCAATGATCTGGATTAACATATTATGGGCTACTATTAGTAATAAGAAAGTTGTCACTATCTGCATATAATATTATATAAGTATTAAAGGTATTTACACACAATTCAAAATTAAATAAAGAAAGAAGTTAGGTATACATATGTATACACTTTTATTACAGAAACCAAATCAAAACACTACTAGGTATGCCTTTTTTAATTCACTTGGAAATTATATAATAGATCCTTTTCGATTTGAAGTCTTCAAATATATCTATACATATAATAAAATTCTAACTAAGTCGAATCTGTACATTAAATATTTTTTGGAAAATCTTATTGAAATAGACATTATTATCGATACAGAGTCCAAATCTATAGTTTTTAGAATTTTTGTGTCTGTCTGTTACCGCATCACGAGAACACCACTGGACAGATTTTGATAAAATTTGGTATGATGATAGCTGGTTATCCGGGTCAACATATAGGATACTTTTTACTGCGGGAAAATATCTAATTTCTGAGAAAAAATACAATAACTGCATTGTAAGAGTATACTAATATGTAAAACCTAATAATTTGGTTTTTGGTCATCTGAACGCGGGCGGAGCCGCGGGCAATGCTAGTCGTCAAATAAAAATATAGTTAACAAATTACAAATAGTCTTTGCAAATTCAAATTTTAGCTTCAAAGAAATTTTCCTTTTTTTATTCGAGAACAAAACAGTTTATAAACAAAAGGGCGTTAAGGGCGCGTTTTTCTTTGGAAAGTATAAATTATAAATGATTACGGCAAAACTGAAAGTTTTTGTTAAGTAATATATGTACATAATTTTATAAAGGTACTTTCATATTACATTTTTGTAGATATCTTGTTTTTCATTTAATATTTATAATTTGCACTCTAGCCAATTAATCAATCAATCGACAAATCTTTCTAAGATCGTTGAGGAACCTATCAAAAAACTTGGGAACAACATATTAATATGATTCTATGGAATAAAATTTTTTCTCATCTCAATACAATTTTTAAAACTTCTATTCTTCGAAGAAAATATAATTGCTTCTTGTCCGACCATAGACATAAACGCACTTTCATAATTAAACCTACTTCTACATCTTCTTGTCTCTGATCTTCCCAACATGTTGATCAATACATTTTTTTCTCTATCAACTATTGGATCGAGAACTGACTGCAAGATTGCTACGTTCATAGCGTATTTAATCAACAACTAACTTACTCGGTGGTGTAGTGGCTAGCATGTACGGCTGCACACCCGGAGGTCCTGGGTTCGAGTCCCGGGTCGGGCCAAGTTTAGTTATTGAGTCTTTCTATATATTAAGCCTCAGTAACAGCCCGGAGTTGGGAAGTTGGAGATGTTTCACCCCCGTGCACGTAAAGCCGTCGGTCCTGCGTCTTAACTCTCACTGGTCGTGTCGAGTGGTTGTCCCACCAGAGTATGAGAGTGACAGGAATAGAGAGTGCACGTTGTGTCTGCGCGTACATCTTGTGCACTATAATATCTCCTGCGCAGTTGGCTAGTCTCAATGAGATTGGCCGCCGTGGCCGGAATCGGTCAGGAGAACATCATTTAATCAAAATCAATTTTTTATATACAATAATAAAAGGGACAATATGTTTGGACCGGGGTGCCTATTCAAATGTACCCGCTAGTATGTTACTGTACAGGAATGTTAAAAAAGCTTTAACACCTCCAGGTAAATTTTTAAGAAATTAATTAAATTTCAAAGAAATCTATTGTTAACTGTAACGCCGGCGTATTCGCGGATTTTGAAGAATTATTTATCACTATTTCAAATATTTTCATAAGATTTTGAAATAGATCGTGTCTATGAGGAAAACTCCATTTCGCCGTAATTTCTAAAGTGAAATAAGAACGAAAGGGTAAACCTCAAATTTTCCTAACTAAATTACCTGTTGCTTCTAGGTGTTTGTATAGGCCGCGCTACAAAATTCAACGATGGCAAACTCCTCTTTAGTAGCTTTGTTTTTGTTACAAAATTCATTCATAATACATCAACTGGCTTTAGAGAAAAGCCTTGAAAATTTCGTTCTAAGTAGAATAATGATAAAAACTTGTACGTAAATTGTATACAACCTTTATATTACTAGGACTTAAAAAAACTTATATCTGTTTATTCAAGTTACCTGTAGTACGTCAGCTCTTTAACACCTCCAGGTAAATTTCAAAGAAATTAATTAAAATTCTAAGAAATCTTTTGTTAACTAACACGCCGGCGTGTCCGTGGTGGTGGAGGGATTAACTTAAATTTTATAAAGATGAAAAAAGCTCTGCAAAGAATAAAAATCTGTAAAATAATCTATTTAAATGTAAAAATTTGTAAGTCTATCTCTCTTTCCTAATCTTTCAAGCACTTGCTGGTATACAATGGTATTTGGTAACGTGTTTAACTCCAATGTCCATACAATAATGATATGACATTCCTATAGTTCAAAAAACTTAACATCTATATATATATATATATATATATATATATATATATATATATATATATATATATATAACAAAATCGTGTTAGTTACACCATTTATAACTCAAGAACGGCTGGAGCAATTTTTATGATATTTTAATTTTTTGGATTTCTCTGAGTCCGGAATAGGATAGTAAGTATAAAAAATCAGAAAAATTAACGAAAAAAACAACTATTTATATCTATTTAAAACGTACCTAGTGACGAACCCGAGCGAACCGCGGGTGAGCCGCTAGTAATTAATAGATAGTACCAACACAAAATCAGTCCATTACAGCCACAGCTTTACGTTAAACATTTGGCTGTCGGCCAATATTATAATCGCAATGTGATTGTGAGAAAAAGATGAATTGCTCTATGAATGGATAAGGGTAACGACTTAATTATCACATGTACCTACGTTCGTTATTATCAGTTGATGAGTTATCATCAGTTATTGATTTTAAGTTAATGATAAATTATCAGTAAATGATTTTAAGTTAATGATTAATTATAAGTTAATGATTGAACTTTTTTTTACATTTTTAAATGTCATTTTTGATCTGCAATTAAAGTTTATTTAAGAACTATTTAGATAGTAACATCTTACCCTCGCTTTACTCGGATGCCTCTCAAGATGACTATAAGTCGCTTACGTGTTATTCCAGATCTTATTCTATATCTGTAATCATCCAAACCGGTCCAGCTAGTTTGAAGGAGTAACAAACGTACACACATACAAAATTTTGCACTTACAATAGTTGCTATTCTGTCATTTTTAAACCTTACAAGACAAGAGTTGTTTTTTTTTTAACATGGATGCGCTCGCTTGAAGCGACCCAAGGCACTTCAATTTTTCGGCCAAAAATGTTACATGCAATTGCAAAGAGGAAATCCCACTAGAGGCTTGGATTTGTAAGTGGATTCCTTGTTTGAGATTGGCCTAGAATTTTGTTTTCTTTTATACACTTTCATAGTAGTAGACGACACGTTTGGCTGAGTTTGTAGTGTCCTTACTTGCTGTGCCAGCAGTCGCGGGTTCGAGTACCGCCGGGGGCATTCATTTGCGTGATGAACACGAATGTACTCCAGTCATGGATGTTTATATTCATAATAAGTATGTATTTAAAGTTATATATGTGTAGTGTATCAACTATCGAGTATCCATAACACAAGCCTCGTAGCTTACCATGGAACTAGATGGTGCTGTGTGTTAATGTCCCAACATATTTATTTATATTGTCCAAGTAAATTAGGTAGAACTAGGGGCTTAAACGAGAAATGATTCTATTAATCGTGGTAAAATAAAAAAATTAAAAAATGTATTGAAATTACAAAAATTGTTATGGCATTTATCTATACTAATATTAGAAAGAGGTAAACTTTGTGAGATTGTGAGTTTGTGACGTTGTAGTAATCCCTGAACCTACTGAACTGATTTAGTTGAAATTTGGTAAGAAGATAGTTTGAGACCCTGGGAAGGACATAGGATACTTTTTATACCGGAAGTCATCCCTTAAGGTGGTCAAAATGGGGATGAAAGTTAGTATGGGGAAGTAAGCTAGGGACGAACCCGAGCGAAGCGAGGGTGAGTCGCTAGTTTCATATATTTTAGATTGTAGAACGACATTTCGTCTAAACGCCCTGGACTGTCTGAAGTTGATATTTATATTTTCAAGACGCATATTATATGCTTAAGAAAACAAAAAAAAACCATTTCCGCTTTTTATGTTAATTTAAAGCAGGACATATAAAAATAAACACCAAAATATATTCTACTTTCACGAAATATAAAAGACAGGATGTTTGCACAATTATTTAGTTTACAACGTATTTAATTTTACGCGTGTGGTAGAACAATGTGTTTTGTGAACTTTGCGAAAGTCAAAATTATCTTTACTGGAATAATGAATGCATTTTCTACTAGAGAACCATTGCTTGGTTTTTAAATGCATTTTAGGGTTCCGTAAAAGTAATTAAATTATAAAACCCTTATACGATTACTTGGTGACTTTCAGTTATTCCGCCATTTTAACTTTTGAGTAGGTTATATACGAGATAATAGTCTATATATATATATATATATATATATATATATATATATATTATCTCTACTATACTATATATATATATATATATATATATATATATATATATATATATATATATATATATATATATAGTATAGTAGAGATAATAGTCTCGTAAAAAATATGAAATGAAACTCAGAATTCAAATTAAATAGCTTTTAAAATAGTTAAACTACATTAAAATCGGTTTATTTTTGAGAAAGCTATTTAATGACAGCTACGTATAGACTGGCTATGGCTCCGATTTTTGAATTGGCTGGATAAAAGTTAAATTATAAGTGTTTTACTTAACATTGATTTTGAATTATATCTTAATTATTAAAGAACCTATAATTTTATTAGATTTGTCTTCTAATATATTTCTTTCAATTTCTTCAAGTTTTTTTTGAAATAATTAGTACATTTCTTCGCAATTTGTTCACATTTATACGAGTAAGTTATTAAAATTTAAAAGTAAAAGTTATTTGTGGACATTCAAAATAATATCTTTTCTACTAATAAGTTATTTAAATTTTTAATATTCTGTAACAAGATATTTTACAAAAATGAACGAAATTTACATAAAAATAAGGATTCCAGTCTTCAATTATATTTTTAAGTTGACCAACAATTTTGAGATTGACTCACTAAAGAATTGCATTAAACTTGTAAATATAATTATAAATAATCGATAATGAGACATAAACTTGATTTAGTACTAGCAGTACGCACAACTCCGCTTGCGTTCAACTGAAAATTTCATCAAAATAACCGTTTTGGAGTCCATAGGGAACATACATCCGCACATACGATTTTTTTATTCATACTGCTAGTATTTACGCCTCTTTTTTAAAAGATTGAAATAATCGTCTTCAACTAACACTTTAGTTAATTTAACAGCTCTGTCAAATCAATTCATGTACATCAAAAACGTAAATCAAAATGTTATTTTGATTTACGTTTTCATTAACGGCATTTGACAAGTTTCTGACGATTTTGACTGCGCTGTTAACTGACATGATGAATAAATATATATAGTAACTAGCATTGCCCGCGGCTCCGCTCGCGTTCAGATGACCAAAAACTAAATTATTAGGTTTTACATATTAGTATACTCTTACATTGCAGTTATTGTATTTTTTCTCAGAAATGAGACATTTTCTCGCGGTAAAAAGTATCCTATATGTTGACCCGGATAACCAGCTATCACCATACCAAATTTCATCAAAATCCCTCCAGTGGTTTTTGTTTGACGAACCCGCGTAGAGCGAGGGTGAATCGCTAATTTAATATAAAATTTATTCATAAATGAACTGCCACTAATATAGCGTATCGCAATAACAATGTTTATTGCGCAAAGTCAAGCGTACAATCAAACAATTATGTGCATTTGCATACATTAACGCGGATCTCTCGGGCTGCGGTCTGGCGTTCGTCCAAGCTACGGTAGATGTGGTCTAAGTAGCAGGATATAATAGATAGTTTAATTAAATCTTTTGTAGCAGACTAGTGATGTATCTATTGGTTTTCACCGATTTCAATAAAGGAGTAAGGTATTTTGTATGCTTTAGTGTTACACAATCTAATTTTTTAACTAGCAACTTACCCTAACTGACCCTAAAGTCTCTAAATTCTCTTTGTGCTTACAATATTATATACAGGTAGCGCCACCTTTTGGCAAATTCCATTACTAACAATAAGTTATGTGTTACTTCAGGTCATAGTGTATCATATATGTACAAAATTTAATTAAATCCGTCTAGCCGTTTCAGTGTCAAGGAGTAAAAAACATACACGCACATACAGATTTTCGCACATAAGTGCGATACTATAAAGTATCAAGTTTTTTTTTATCAAGTAAGGTCTATATAAGAAGGTCCTTAAAGGAAGAATATTTAATTTTTGTATGTTGATGCGCGTGTCAGTTAACAATTAGAAGTACATATGTAAAAAGATTTTCATAGAATACCATTTACAGTAACAAAATCGTTCTAGCCGTCTCTTAGAAATGGGTGAACATACAAACGAACATAGGACCTCCGCTTTTTTGGAAATCAAAAAAGTTGTTAAAAATAATCTGGGTTATAAATACCCCATGACGATTTCGATCGTATGAACTCTTTCTGTACAAATTAAGTCTATGCATTGCTTTATAATTGTTTTGTAAAGAAAAAATAAACTCTACTCTCATAGATTCACGTTTATAATATACTAGCTTGCTTCCCAATACAAACTGTCATTCCCATGTTTACCCCCTTAAGGGATGATTTCCGGGATAAAAAGTATTCTAAGTCCTTCCCAGGGTCTCAAACTATCTTCTTACTAAATTTCATCTAAATCGGTTCAGTAAATCCAGAGATTACCCCCTACAAAGTCACAAACTCACAATTCACAAACTCACAAACTTTACCTCTTTATAATATTAGTATATAAATGTAAGGATAGCACACAAAATATTATATTATCTGTATAAATTAGGGTATGGATTATTAAAGTCAAAATCAAATAAAGTACAATCTGTAGGTTTACGCAATGAATGTAAATTAAAACTTGCTGTGTGTTGTAAAGTAGCAATAAAATCATTTTATACGAGATACTTTCATTTTCCTTTGATTAACTGCTTATACGAGTCATTTATTTCATGATGTAAATTATTAATGTAATCTCGATAAAATTTTTGTAGGTAGTGTTTGACGATGAATCGGACTATTATAAATGCAAAAGTTTGTATGTGTATCCATGTTTGTTACCACTTAACGCCGAAACGGCTATAAGGATTTTGATGAAATGTACTAGGCAGGAACCTATATAGATAATGGCCTAAAGTTTTTCTCATCTGTTTGTCAGCTGATTTTCTTTTTTTATTTGTAGCTATTGACAAGCTTTAGTGTTAGTATCTGGGCAACCAAACTTCGCTCGGTGTTTTTAAAATTAGATGTAAAAAAGTTTTTTTTCAGAAAACACACCTATATAGATAAACTTAAAAAACAAAACCTTATCTAAAAAACACAATTTAATCCAAATCGTTAGAGCCGTTTCCAAAATAGACGTAATAAATCTATATAACAAGTATCGCTCATTTAATATTATAAGATTTTTTTATATAGATAGATAAGGACAAACCCGTTCAGTACCTTTTTCTCCTCTGTTTGAGTTTTGATGAGCTATATTGTTATTAAAAAAAACATTTTACGGTTGAATTTCAACCACTGTGCGAACTTTAGTTTAAATAATCTGCCGTTAGTAACCATGGTTATATTCATGGTTAGTGGTAGGCCTACTGTTCAAGTGTTCACACTCCCTTACCGCTGCTCACTTAAAGAATGGACCTGCTGTAAATTGGCCCGGAAACTAACCCAGACAAACTATTCTTGTTCAACGTTTACCATGCGTGATTGAAACGTTGCTAGTACTGGTATGTTCTAGCAAACCATTATAGCTTATAGTTGTTGTTTTATACTGAGCAAGGTGTATGTATGTATGGCTCGTGTTTCGTCGTAACTCAATACGTTTTTTGTGCATATATTTGTTCCATGAGATCTTCGAAAATTGTGAATTTATTTATAATTGTTTTTTTTTAATTAATAGCTTAAACCTCTATATACCGACTTTTAAGGAAAAATCTAGCCTCTAGGATGGTAATTTATAGTGATTTTAAATCCTGTGTGCCTTTTATGATAAAAATAATTATAGATGAATAAGTATCTATATATACATAGGCAAAGACAAAACAGATTCGTATCTTTTGTTGGTCTTATTTCCAATGTGTATTCAGACCTTCTTAATATCCCACTGCTGGGCACGGGTCTCCCTTCAATACGAGGGGGATCAGGCCATAGTCCACCACGCTGGCCAAGTGCGGGTTAGCAGATTTCACTTACCTTTGAAAACTTGCTAGGTTCTCTCACACATGCAGGTTCCCTCACTATGTTTTCCTTCACCGTAAGACAAGTGGTAATCATGTTGGAAATGATATTGTTAGCCGTTTTTTTTGGTATTTATTAATGAGCTTTCACTCGGTGAAAACCAGTAAAAAAGTTATCCTATAATGATTAATTAGGTAGAAATTAATACGAAAATAATAAAACTTTTGATCTCTAAAATATGTAAAAGAATTTCAAGCTGAACGCTATCTACTGGATTATTTAAATCCTAGAGGACTTCTCTTGAAATTGCGCTTTTATGCATATTAATGTTAATGTTTAATTTTCAGGTCAACGGTATTGTACTACATGGAAGATGTCATCTCAACGCGTCTGCTATCATCAAAGGCCTTGTTGGACCAGTCTTCAAAATCATCTTGTTAAGGTAATTATTTATAGAACTAGTAGAACTTGCGGCTTTGCCTGCGTTCACAATGCAAAAAACATACTTTTCTTTCCTTTCCCTTTACAATAATGTATGAAAGTCTGCCCGATTTGTTGACATTTATGATTACTGCTCTGCTTCCTTAGTTAGTAGCATGATGATATATAGCCTATAGCCTTCCTCAATAAACGGGCTATCTAATACAAAAAGTTTTTTTGAAAACGGTTTAGTAGTTCTTCTTAGTAGAGATTAGCGCGTTCAAACAAACAAAAAAACTGTGACTCTTTATAATATTAGTATAGAATATAGATAGACACATCAATGATCCTACAAGATTTCTATTTTTACATTAGCCTTAAAAGTTTTAAAAACAAAAAATATACTAAACCGTTACACTTTCCAATTTATTTCCATTTTTTAAGTTAAAAAAAAATGTTGTATACTGTATACTTAACAATATATCTTATCTAATCTCTTATCGATATCTCATTCAGGTATTCATTCTATCGTTGGTGAATTTATTTCCCTGTGACAGTAGGTGAATTAACTTATTTACATATTAAATGCCTTTTAAACAAAATTAGTAAAATGTAGCATTAGTCTATACTAACATTATAAGAAAGAGGTAAAGTTTTTGAATTGTGAGTTTGTGACGTTGTAGGGGGTAATCTCTGGATCTACTGAACTCATTTAGATGAAATTTGGTAACAAGATAGTTTGAGACCCTGGAAAGGACATAGAATACTTTTTATCCCGGAAATCATCGATTAAGGGGGTGAAAATGGGGATGAAAGTTTGTATGGGGAATCAACCTAGGGACGAACCCAAGCGAAGCGAGAGTGAGACGCTAGTCTTTATATATATAATTCTTCTGTGAGTGTGTATGTCACTGAACTTCTCTCAAACGACTGGACCGATTTTGATGAAATTTTTTGTGTGTGTTCAAGGGGATCTGGGAATGGTTTAGATTCACAATTTGAATAATAATTTTCATCAAAAAAATTATTAAAAAATGTTTGAAATTTTCAAATTAAAGACGTGTAGACAGGACAACGTCTGTCGGGTCCGCTAGTTTATTATAAAGCGATATGTGGATGCTGTGGAGATTATTCCCCTTGAAATGACTTAAATATGTATTATCCTCCTGACTATCATTATTCTTTTTAATATTTAAAAAAAAACTGGCTTGTTTTTGTACATTTTAGGGGAATTTCAAATCTTTTTTAGCTGAATAACTGAAAATCTAGAATGGGTAGTGAAAATTTCGACCCCAAGTCTATAGTTTCTTTTTCTTTTATCCAAATATGATGCGTATTTATAATATAAATTGTTGATATTGTTGGAGCACTCGCATGACGTATAAATAGTTGTAAATTCAATTGTGAAAGCGGAACGTCTGTCACCTAAAATACAGGCTCTGGTTTACTTTAGGAGATAGTAGTTAAACTTTTTTGACCCCTTTTGTACAACATGCTTTATTTACTTCAACCCCTTATATTGGCACTTTATATAGTACAATAAATAAATTATTATTATTATTACAGTGAATCTGTAAGGACAAGAGCGGATTTTGTCGCAGTTTTATTTTATATTCTTGTTCCTAACGTTTCGAATGCTGTAACAGTAGATATGGTCACGCAAGAGACTAAGGTTTTCAACATCTCAAAAGTTATATATAATTGTAAAATAAAACAGCGACAAAAGATATTTTTATTTAAAATAGTATTTTGCTGAATTACCAAATATATGTATAGTGAAAGTTAGCTTTGTGACATTGGCCAATTAAATAGTTTCTATATATATATATATATATATATATATATATATATATATATATATATATATATATATATATATTTATATAGCTTTCTCTTACTCCCAGTCGGCATGATTTTTTCCGACGTCTTCAACAATCAACGTCATATTTCAGCCAATTTACACAAAATTTTAATGAATTATACACGTAAATCTTCCTTATGACTCACTCTGTCCATTAGTGAAAACCGTATGAAAATCCGTGCCTTAGTTTTTGAGTATATCGCGTTCAGACACACAGAGAAACAGACGCGGTGAGAGAACTTTATTTTATAATATGTAGTAATGATATTATTTAACTAGCTTTCACCCGTGGCATCGTTCGTGTTTTTAGTTGTGATTTTTTTTGCGTGATATTAGATAGCCTCTTACTCTAATAAACTGGCAATAAAATGCAAGAAGATTTTTTATACCGAACTTTAGTTTCAAAGATCCAACAGAAAAAAAAACTCTTTAGCTTAATGGTTATTAGTCTATACATATAATAAAATTGTAACTAAGCCGAATCTGTACATTAAATATTTTTGGGAAAATCTTATTGAAATTAACAATATTATCGATACAGGGACCGAATAGTTTTTAGAATTTTTGTCTGTCTGTCTGTCTGTTACCGCATCAGAGAAAAACCACTGGAGAGATTTTGATGAAATTTGGTATGATGATAGCTGGTTATCCGGGTCAACATATAGAATACTTTTTACCGCAGGAAAATATCTCATTTCTGAGAAAAAATACAAAAACTGCATTGTAAGAGTATATACCGCTGCCTAAAAAAGGCAGTGGTAGCCCAGTGGTAACGCGCTCGCTTGGGAAACCGAGTGATGCGAGTTCAAATCCCGGGTCTCGCACCTCTGATATTTTCATGTGCGAATCATTTCCAACATGATTACTACTTGTCTTAACGGTGAAGGAAAACATCGTGAGGAAACCTGCATGTCTGAGAGAACCTAGCAAGTTTTCAAAAAGACATGTGAAGTCCGCCAATCCGCACTTGGCCAGCGTGGTGGACTATGGCCTGATTCCCCTCGTACTGAAGGGAGGCCCGTGCCCAGCAGTGGGACGTTAAAAAGGGCTGAATACAAGAGTATACTAATATGTAAAACCTAAGAATTTGGTTTTTGGTCATCTGAACGCGAAATCTGAATGCTAGTATTAATATAAAATATTATATAATTTTTACTGCTCAATACTTTTCCTTCGACGCAGGTGTTTTTCTTCAAATCTTTGTCACAAATAAGGACTACCTATTTAAAGCAAGCATTCACAAATCAGGCGTCAGGTGCAAAACTCGAATTTTCGACTATTCAGACACGTATTAGGAGGTTCAATTGCCAATAAATATAGTTAGATGCCAAGAATTTAAACGACTTTAGCATTTTCATTCTTGATATATTTTTATTTTGAACTTGAATTTTTCTTTATATCCTCACCATTGAAGAATATGGGCTTTTTATGGGAACTGTATTATAAATGTAAAAAATATAGTCAAAGATAAAGGAAAAGCACGTACTTAGTTGTCTGTTTGTTAGACGACTGCTTGTTGGTTAATTTTACCCACCATATTATGATAAACTTATAAAATAAACTACATCATAATTAATTATTCGAAATAATGACGGTGGAATTCATCACTCAGTATCCTAATGTCATTTTTTATTATCCACGCTAAAATAATGAAATATATGGGAAGAAGCGGTCCATTCCTAACACAAGTATCCTCGGATTACTTACTGGGAAGACTCGAACATATAAATTGTAAAGATGATTAAAAAATAAAAAACTATTTTTTTTTGTATACTACATACATTAGTTTTACTGTTATTATGTATTCAGCCCATTTTAACATTCCATTGCTATGCAAAAGTCTCACGATGCTTTCCTTCACCCTAAGACAAGGATGTCTTGTCTTAAACCGATTGAAGCGGATTTGAATCTCGGGTCTCGCACCTCTGATATTTTCATAATTACCAAGGTAGTTTTGGGGGTTTCCCAGGATTTGAACCCCAGGATCTATATCCGAGCTCCAGGATTTGAACCCGCTTCAGTCGATTTCCCAAACGAGTGCATTACCACTGTGCTACACTGCCTTTAATACTACTTATTACTATTTCCTATAAATAAATAATTTTTATATTTTTTTTATAGACGAAAGGCGGCATTAGAAGACGTGGCAGTCAAACCTCTCACACAATTTCCAGTAGCAATCGACGAAGAGGTATGTATACTAGTTTTATATCTTAACTAAAAATTTATAAAATAACTGCTTACTTACTTCGCACTGAAGTTATATTTTTATGGTCTTTTATCTAAACAGGTTATTATTTTTCTTGTAATAATTATTTTTTACACAATAAGTATAAATAACCTTTACTTCAACTACTAGTATAGTATATTATCTGTGCTTTAATTTATAATAATTATGTAAGAAATGTAAAAAATCTACAACAATTCAATTATAATTATTAGATATTTTACATAATGAATATACTTATTATGTAAAATACCTATCTAATAATAGTAATAATATATATTATACTTTAGTAATATTTATAATATTTTTATTATAAATAAATTAAAGAAGCCATAGACAATAGACATAGCAAGGTCATACAATACAGTAGATCGAATTTAATATTAATGTAAATCATGCCAAATACAAAGTTGTCAAAAATACTCATTTTCATGGCGAATAAAAGTTAATACATTGTAGTGCTATCTTGTGGCAAGTTTACTGGAATCCTCCGTGATGTTCACATTAAAGCAGTTTCCCGACTAGCATATAAAAGTAAGTATGGTAGTCGGGAGCGCCTACCCCGCCTCTCCTTTGGTCTGTTCAAACGCCTTCGTTAGACGAGTGTATAAATTAGTAATAATAATAATAATAATGACCTGCCGACTGACTATGGCCACGGCGGCCAGTCGCATTGCCATTAGCCATCTGCGCAGGAGATATTATAGTGCACAAGTGTACGCACAGACACAAGTGTCCTATCTATTCCTATCACTCTCATAATCCGGTGGAAAAACTACTCGACACGACCGGTGAGAGTTAAGGCGCAGGACCGACGGCTTTACGTGCTCTCCGAGGCACGGGGGTGAAACACCGCCAACTTCCCAACTCCGGGCTGTTACTGAGACTTACTATACAGAAAGACTCAATAACTAAACTTATTACTTAGCATGGATTAGTACAGTGTGGTAGGCATACGTGTTGTCCGAAAGATTACAGAAGGCATTCAAATGCCGTCTTACATTTCAATATTTTTTGTTTGATATTTAAAATGTTTTTGTTGATTTTTTAGGCCAATTTTATTAATAAAATGATATTTATTTTAATATCTGGACCAAATTGTGGTTATTTTATTTTAAATACGCTTTTGTACGAGTCATTTAAGAAATACTGGCTTTTGCGTGTGACTTCGCTCGTGATAGTGTGTCATTAGTAATGGCCTAATCAGAAATAGTGTTGCTTTTTAACAGAGGATGTTTTAAAAAACATACATATATATTTACGAATGTTTTCCATATAAATAAAAAAATCTTACTAAAATTTGCCAACTTTACATTATCCAATAGATAAATCATCACCAAATCACACAACTTCTTGTATGATCAATGCAATTGTCCCATTACAAAAGTAAAAATGTGTGTGCTTAAACCTTCTTAACCCTTAAACTCCTAAACTATATCGAAAAATGTGTCTAAAGCATGTAAATAGTATTATAACTAGCATATGTTTGCCCCAGACCATTTTCTGGTTTCCGTGGGCTAACTGAAGAATACCAAATGTAGGTATATTACCTCTCTCTACTCTCAGCTGTAAAATTAAAGTAAGGCAGCTTATATATTATTTGTATATTAATTTATATCAAAATTACTTAAAAAAATTCACTGTCTGCACTTAGCTGTGCAATTTATTTGGACCATTACACCAAAAAATACAGACGATACTTAGATTTACGTGAAATTTGACTGGCATGAGAGCCTGACACCATGGACTCGGGGTATCTCCCGTGACCATGGCTGTTTTAAAGCATTCGCACTATATCGGGGACCAAAAATCAAAATTAATTCGCAAACAAATCCAAAAATACATACGAAATGAATTTCTCGTTTTTTGAGTCGGTCAAAAATCTAGCCTATATGCAGATATCAAATGGACTCTCTGTCAGATAACAACGTGAAAGCGTTACCAAGCAATACATAGAAAGATATACATACATATTATATGGTTTAAATATAATTTATTATTGTTTATTCGCTTAACACTGACCTTGCGACTATCTCGCTCGCACTTCACGCTCTTGGTTTCCGTACGATTTTCCTAAACGTTTCTAAACGATCTAAATTCAACCTTATTATAACATACTTAAAATAAAAAATCAATTTAGTTATTATTTTTCAGTGTTTATCTTAAACGGATGTAACGAAATGTCATAAGTAAATTTATTGCATATTTAAAATTGAAATTTATGATTAAAGAATTAAAGTCCAATTTAGTTTCATTAGTTAATAAATATATGATATATTTTTTAAATAAAATCTCGTCTGTTATCATTTTAGCGATGTCATACATATAAGTAGTAGTACAGTGGACGCGGTGCGAGAGTACGCATTTAATTCAATTAATAATTATGTTAAAAGTGTTCCATATTAAGTAATTTATTACTTATAAGTGTACTTAAGTGTAAGAGAAGTGTTAATTGCAAGTCCAAAGTGATTTTTGAAGTGGTTTCAAATAAATATACGTATGCGAATTTAGATTTTGATTAAACAAGTTTCATTAGTTGATGTAGGATTTATGTAGAGTTCAAATCTTGAAGTATAGGTTAATTTTAACCGTTGAGATACTATTAGCATACAAATCGTACTATTAGCCTTTACCTTTTTTTATTACTTACTAACTTTATTATATATATTAAATTTTCAATGATTATTTCTTTTATAACTATATATACTAGCGACTCAGCCTCGCTTTGCTCGGGTTCGTTCCTAGTAAAAAACAAATTATCCCACGGGAACCGTAAATTTTTCCGGAATAAAAAGTAACCTATGTGTTATTCCAGATTATAAACCATCTTTACACCTAATTTGATTCAAATCCGTTCAGTCGCTCTGGCGTGATTTAGTAACAAACATCCATCTAAACTTTTGCATATATAATATATATATTTATGTATGTGATTTAGAAATCTATATGTTTGATTAATATCAAAACAAGTTATATATTAAATGAGAAAATACATAAAATATCATATTTAAAAGCTCTTTAATTTACATTGAATTTTATTAGTAACTTTAAACAAATAATATGTAATCTCAGCGCGTTTCAGTCTTATTCTGACGCGTTTTAATGCTTATGTTTGTCTTTTTCTTGCATTATTTGGGTTTGTGTTTTAATTTACGTATTGCCGAATGGCAACTTGTTTGACAACCCAATCACTTTGAGAAGATATATTTTTTCATATTTAGTACAATATTTGGTTCTAGCTTTAATACTGCTTTAGTACTAGCTTTTGCTAGTGACTTCGCGACGCTGTGTGCTATGATTTCATTGTTATTATTAAAGTTTGTACCTTGAAGCGTGATAACAGATAACAAAGATACAAATAAGAGTATGTAAGAGGGTTCAAACAAACAAAAAATAAACAGAAAAATTAATAGGCAAAGAAAAAATAGTCAAATATCTTTTTTCCTTTTTTTGTCCAACGATTTTTTTTGTTTTTTGCTAAGTAGGTATTGAAGAGTGTTATTAAAAAAAACGTGTGTGTGTACTTATGTACGTACGTAAGAAGTTATACTTCTTTGGCGTAACAGAACAAAAATAGCTAAAGATTTCATCCCGTACGTCACAACTCTCTGTTTGTAAGAGAAATGCGGCTAACTTCATCATGTCGCTTTTTGGCTGTGAAAAATTTTACTCTCATATTTTTTCCTAAACGTGCCAAAAGAAGTACGAGTATAACTTCAAATAATAAGAGAACTAAATGTTTTTTTATAGCTAGGTAAATTCTATTTAAATATGATTTTCTCAAATTTTCTATAACGATTATGGTCGAATTTCGACCACTGGGCAACACTTTGCATAAAAATATGAAACTTTGAACAAGTTATGGCATCAATTAAAGTTTTAAATTATCTAAATATTTTATTGTGACATAGATCAAACTAAATTGTACATTTAAAAATTTTTATATATACAAAACAATACACACTTAAAAAAAAGTTTAAGTTTTTATTTATTTCATAATGTGAATTTAAAAGTTCCATAAAAAATATTAAAATTGTAAATCGAAATTATTGTGCAAATAATTTGTTAATAACGGTAAAGCATAATGTGTCGTTTTTATTTTACGTGTCAAGGTAATTGTTAATTCCTTAATAGGCCATTTATAGAATGGCTTATTACAGATAAAATACTGTCCATATAAAGCTATTTTTGATATATTTTACATATAAATGGTGCTATTACATCTTATACTTGCGATTTTGTGGCGGACAATTTCATTGAGACTAGCCAGCTGCGTAGGAGATACATATAGTGCTATATATTAAAAATCGATTAATCGATCCATCGATTAAAAAAATACTAGATACACAATCTTATGCAAAAGTTCTCTTAATACTGTCACTAAATGTGTTTACGTAATTATTCTAGTTAAAATAAGTAAACAACAATGTAAATTGAACATTAAATGTAATTATTAAAGTTGTTTTCACAGAAGAAATTTAAAAGCGCGCTAAAATATTCAAATGAGCGCTCATTCGGTGAGGACATTTTTTGGCGGTGATTGTGCATCTAGTACATTTTTGATCGATGGTTTAGTCACAAGTACAAACTTTATTATACATCTCGGGGGGTTCAAACCCCCCCGTCCTCTGATATGTTTACGTGTAAGTCATTTTTAATATGATTACCACGTGCTTTTCGGTGAATAAAAACTTCGTAAAGAATCAGAGTTGCATATCTGACAGAATCTAAATAGCTTTCGAATAGCATGTAGAGTCTGCCAACCCTCACTTGGTTATCATAATGGGCCTGTAAATGCCTTGAACCCACACTGAAGGGAGGCTCACGCCCAGCAGTGGGATGTTGAAAATGGCTGAATATTTTTAGTAGCCAGCTATCTATCCATTATAAAAGACAAATAATAAAAAAAAATTCTCATTTGTTTTGAATCAATTAAAACACTCATTCTCAAAGTGCAAGATCAG